ATTGATTAAAAAACAAGCCGCTGACAAATTTGGTTATTTGCATTCGCGTATATATTACGTAAACGAAATCACAATGTTTTTACAATTAAATTGTACACTCGTTTCTTTTCTAATTTTTTTTTTCTTCAAAAATTATAAGTCAAATTACTTTTAACATTAATATAACAATTTTTCCTCGAGTTTAATTATAAATGTCGTTCATGAGAAAAATTCAAAAGAAGTAGATAAAAAAGCATTGACCTATTCTTTGTTTTATTTTTTTAATCCGATAAAATATATTATATATATCGCTCGTTCATGATAATAGCGGCTATGGAAGAATGGGTGGGGAGGTAAAACGTTAAGTTTAAAATTATTTTACAGATACAGTATAATGAAATCATCGAGTAAATTCAGATAGAGGCGTGGAGTTTTTCAGATAAAAGCGCGATAGAGAAAAGCACGTTAAAAAAAGCATGTGCTAAGTCGATGAAAGTCCGTCGACGATTTAATTATCGAGCCAACCTGTGGCCTTTCTACTCTTCTTTCTCTTTTGCTTCCGCGGCTACAAACCACAAGCAATTTTTAATTAACACCCACGGGACACGACAGAAAAATTACCTGCATTTCAATATAACCCTTAAATACTTTCTGTTTTGCGTTCATAATATGAATTTCATAAGTTACATTTTTTGAAAAAAAAACTTTTTTTTCAATAAAAATTCCACAAAAATTAAATTATATCTACATTAGGAAATAACTTTTTTTAAAAAATATTTTTAATTTAAGTTTAAAATATTTTATATTTGATGTTTGAATATTTTTTCCTTTTTTTAAAAGTGATTGATTCAATTTATTAATCAGTTAATGAGAATTTTCTCATCCGAATGATTAATCAGTTAATTATCTAATAAATTTCCTCATTCACCTGATTTGATTCTAAAGAACCTGATTTTATACTCCTCTCTACTTAAACACTTGATTTTAACAAATATTACATCATGTGACTCTCCACGAAAGAAAAGGGAACAAAATTTTTACGTTATGTTTGTGCTTAGTTAGCGATACTAGCGCTCTTGCGGGGAAACTCTTGCAACTCAGGTGAGAAATGAAGTATTACAAATGGCGGACATGTGAATTTAATAAATTCAAAAAAAAAACCCGGATAGTTCACTCTCACTAAACATAAACAAAAAATTTTTGTTGACGTGGTGCATCATATTATGTCAAAATTGCTCATCATTCAATAGTTCAGTGAAATAATAGTTAATCCTCTTTAAAAAAAAATATAGTTAATTTAACATTTTTGAAGACAACAGTAATTGAAAAATACTCGCAAGTGTCATGAGCATAAATTCATAAAGAAATAAGCCAGTGCATTAGAGTATTATAATAATGACAAAGAGTAGCAACGAGATGTCTGAGCAATTATCGTGATTTTTATAAATGGGTTTCTTTATCGTGGATGTAGGTGTCGTGAAACAAGGGTAAGTTGCTCCTCGCGGTTGTGCAGCCAACGTTTTGTGCTTCCCTGCCTTAACGGACCTACCCTTTTTCGGGATTCCCTTTCCCTCTATAATTCTGTCCTCCTCCCTCAATGTTTCTCGCTCTCCCTCCCTCCCTCTCACTCTCTCTTTCTCATCATGGTTGAGACCCTCGCTTTCCCCTGTTTCTCTTTTCCCTTCTCGCTCTTACCACCACCTCGAATGAACGAGTCAACCCCCCACCTACCGTCGAAGCAACCCCTCCAGTCGACGTCGTCGCCGCCACTGCCGCCGCCGCGATACATTGCGATACACGGCTCTTGTCTCCACGCTACCTACCTACGTGCAGGACACAGCGCTTAGCCCATAGATACACTAGGCCACTAGGCACACTAGTCACCACCCCTTTAACCCGGTTACCCCTCTTGTTCATCCTGACTTGACCCTCCAACCGTATTCATCCGACGTACGTTTTGCCCGTCCGTATATACATATATATATTAATCCGTCCTGCGTGAACCAACACAAACTTGTCACGAGGCATAAACCTCTTCCTCCCCCCTCCTTTCACCCTTCTCAACAACAACACACGTACACAACGTCATTGTAAACACGTGTATCCATATACATAAATATACACACACGTGTACACAACTGAGACAACCATGTGTACACAAACAGTGTAAAGTGTCCCTCCCGTACTTTATTTTGGACTAAAAAAAAAAAGTTATTTTTCAAATATTCCAAGAGGTGTGTCCACATAATTGCTCATCCAACAGATAAATCAGTGATCAGTGTCAATAGTGTGACCCACACTATAATTGTGGCAAGTGTCTTGTAAAAAATCAAGTTTGACAAAAAAAAAAAAAGAAGTGATTTCTGATTGTCAATAAAACCCAATTTTGTGTGCTGTGTATTGTCCATATTGGAAGTTTGTTATTAACAAGATTTGGTTGTGTTGCCAAGGGCCTTTTTTTATTGAAGTGAAAAGAAAAAAAAAATATTTCGATACAGTGCTTCTTTTATTCGCCGTCAGTTTATAGTGTTCGCGCGATTCGACGGTTAAAATTGCTTTTTCATCAAAAAAAAAAAAGTAAGTTGTTTCGTGACACACTGATCGAGGGTTGCTTTAACAATATAGAGATTAGCTAATCACCCTCATTGTTCTCAATTATGCTTTCTTATCGGTCTCTTGTGAAAGTTTCTCCATTTTCTGGTGAAAAATTCATTTCTTCTTTGGCTTCGAAATTTTATTGCCTGATGCAATTATTTCCACTATTCAAAGTTTAAAAAATACCTACATAAGGTATGATTTTAGTTTAACAACAATTTTCTTTATTTTCAACCGGAGGTTTCGAATTTCTATTTGTTGAAAGACATTTTTGCTGATAAAATTTTTTTTGAAACTGCAAATACTTTGTTGGTAAATTATTTTTTAAGATTGCTCTGTTAAAAATTACTTTCATCATAAATATGTTGATCAGAATTATCAGTAATTATAACGGAAATTATTTAATACAACTGGCATTTTTTGTATCTAACTAGAAATTTTAATTATTAATTAAAATTGCCAGTCAATAAAAAACAATATTTCTGACATCATTCCTTTAACTTTATTTGTATGGAAATTTCATGATATTCATCTTCTGAGTAATATTACACCAATATCATTCAAGTTGATCGAAATCAAAATTTTTCCATTTTTAACAAATTATTTTCAAAATCAACTGTTCAGTTTTCTTTAACCATCATCTTTCTTCTTGAAAAGACAAAATTCGCTGCTCAGAATATTTCAAGATTTAATTGACTTTTTATCATAATATTCATTTAAAATCTTAAATCTCAGAATATTCAGATGAATTCAGTCACTTCAATTCTTCTTTCCCGAATAAATCGGCAACAATTATTAAATTCAAATTCTAGCAAAAATCTAAAATTCTCATTTATTTTTAGAAAGAACTCCTAACTTCTTCCCTTGATCCAGTTTCTGAAGTTCTGAACCTCTTAGCTTAGAACCACGAATTGGTTGCGATTGAGATATCAAGATGTTCACGTTACGGATTGACTGATCGGAGGTCAGTGTCACTGCGTGATATTCATCCCCCCCCTCTAAAAAAAAGAAGTAGCGTGCGTAAAAGACCTATATAAAGAAAACTGTTCACGATTTCGCGTGGCCTAACCGGCGTGTGCTCAAAAGCAGTCGTGGTCTCGTTTCCCGCGCGCACAACCAGTCAACCAACACCAACACATCAACGAGCCGACAAGCAACGCAACTCCACCAACCAACGAAACCAACCCCTACACACAACAACCCAACGAGGCATCCCCCACTCTGAATCGCACAACAGCTAGAGCGGAAGTACTAGTCAGTCGCCGAGCGACCTTTCGACATTACGGGTTAGCTTGAACCCTCCTTTTGAACCTTTTTAATCACTTTCTACATCATTCTCAGAACGTGCAAACATCTCGCGACAAAAAAAAAAAAGCGTTTTTGTTTTGAATCCTCCAATAGAGAGAGAGAGAGAGTTGAATGATCCTTCATAGCGCCCGTTGTGCAGACTATTCCGGTTCTTCTATGATGATCAAACAGACACCTCGTGGTTGATCCGGCGTGTTAGGGATTTTACGTCTTCGCTCAAAGAAGTTACTAGAATGTTCAAAAAATCTTATTCCAATATTGAGGATGTTATTAGTACTAAAATCGAATTAATTGACCGTATCACTGATCAATAGATTTATATTACTGATCAATTCAATTGTAATTACCAATCAATTACTTTCATTTAATCATTGATTTCATCTCAGTGGTCAAATGAATTGTGTTTGATAATTATTGTCATTGCAGATTGAACAAATAAAAGATATAATAATATCTGAATTTAATATTTAGCCCTCGAACAGTGTGTGTGTGACGGTGAAAAAAAAATTTTAGCAACAATTTTTGAAGACGTGATATTTGGTGAATTCAGCGCGCGCGGTCGTTTACTGAGAAAGCAGTCGTTGTGTACTTGTTGAGCCACGAGCTCTTGGTTTAATATTTAACAAGATCCTGAGAAGTGTGCCGCTGCTGTTGCTCCTTTTCCTCAACAACTGCTCTTGAGTTGTACGACGTCGACGACGAATCAGAAATTCGCAGACCAAAAGTGTTTTACAAGTCTTAAATAAACTGTTGACGTCAAATAAACTCTATCTACAGAATCTTTCAATTTGAAAAATAAATCAACAACCACGTGGAGTTGAAGATATATTGAAAACAACTCAAGAGAGATAGAGATTAAACCAGTTCGCCAATATCATCATTAACCATTTGAAATTTCTAAGTAGTTTCAAGATAGACACCCACTTAAGATTGCGCGTTACCTGTTTGCCAGTTAACTGTATTCCAAAGTTCGTCCTTGAAATTTAGTTACAGTCAAGAAAGCGAGTTAAGATTATCCATACAAGTTCGAGCCAAGTTAGCAATCTCTCTAGAGATTCGTGAAACCTTGATTGAATTGATCAATCAATAGTTGATCCAAAATCAGTTCAGTTCAAGTGTGTGTGTGTGTGTGTTTGTGCAAAATCCCACCAGCAGGTGAACATCATTATTATCATCATCAATCAAAGGAATTTGATTTACAAGTGACACAAGACAGTGGGATCATAAGTTGTAGTAGGAGTAGTAGCAGTAACCAATCTTTTCAAGTGGAAGAGATCAACGGTCCTTCGCGTGATTGGGTGCAGTGGTGCAGTGCTTGCCGGGGAAGAAGGGAAGTTGGGGTGGCCACGTCATCGGGCAGTTTGCCTCCAAGTGCACCGGGCCCCGGGGCTGCAGTGGTGGGTTGCCTGGTTGGAGTGTATCCGTGTTCTCAAACTTCGGCGGGGCCCAGGGGCCCCACAACAGCCACACATCTCATTCAAGGTATTCCAACAACTCAACAACTTCAGGGGACCAGTTGTCGTGCCTGTTGCTGCTCCCATATCAACAACCATCATCATCAACAGCAGCCGCCAACAGCGGTCCAGCTCACCAGCCAACGGGGCGGTCTATCGCTGAGGGTAGCGAGGGTGGCGTCCACCACCTCCGTCCGAGCCGCCCCCTACGCCCATCCCCAGCACCAAGGGCTGGGGCCAGAGTGCAGGTAATAAACTTTTTAAGACAATCACTTTTCTAAAGAAAAAACAAAATCTTGATTTACTTTATTTTTTTCACAAAAAAAGAACATTCAAACTAATGAGATCATTTAAAATTAATTAAATAACTAAACTAACATCGCACGATAACCGCGCACTCTCTCTACTTCTGCTACTTCTCTTCTTCTTCTTCTTCTACTTCCACCTTGGAAAATTGATTCAACTTCATCAAAAACGCATCGTATTGAAGAAATTAATGCTCTCAAAGTGAATATAAAAATTAATAAATAAAAGACGTGTTATTTTAAAAGTAGCCCAACTAAGAAGTAAGATTGTGCGGCGAAACGTTCGCGACGTTATTAAGAGCAACAAATAAGAAAAAAAAAAAAAAAACGAACGAAACAAAGGTGTAGGGAGGAGACGGGCGCAGTGGGTGGAGGTGGTGCGCACATCCTCGGCAGTCCGATGCTGTTTGTTCCGTTCACGGTGCCGACTTTCCCCGCGACGCACCACCAGACGTCTCATCCGGTTCACCAGACGCACCATCAGCAGCTGCAACCCAACAACCAGAATCCGGTGCAACAGCCGCCACCGCCGCAGCTCACTCAACTCAACCAGCTGAATCATCTCAATCATCAGGGCATCGTACCTGTGACTACCAATCAACCCACCGTTCATAGTACCAGCTGTTCACCACAACAGCAGGCTACAACACCCAACAAGGTTAGAGAGATCATCAATTCATTCAATTTATTATTGACTCTATATTCTTTTTTTCTCTAAACAGGTTGTCCAACAAAAATATTTAAATCACCGTTATCGAAAATTCTAAAATTAAGAATAAATTCTTGGTATACGATTATAAAATATTTCGATGCAATTTCAATTTTATTTATTTTACACTCGAAATTAGTACACTGTACACTGTAAAAAAAGAGAGTTGAATTTCAACTCCCTAGGGGATGCTATAAAAGTCCCACCCTTTTGGAGTTGAAGTGAAAGGAGTTAATGCTTTACGAGGTAATTTTATGCCTAAACAGTTAGTTTTACACTGTAAAAATGGAGTTGAATTTCAACTCTCCAGGGGATGCTATAAAAGTCTCACCCATTGGGGAGTTAAAGCAAAGGGAGTTCAACTTTAACTCCTTACATGAGTTGAAGAATATGATCCTCCATTATAAAATAACTTAAAAGGGAGTTGATACTGAACTCCTTAACCTGAACTCCCTTCCACTATTGGTTAACTCCTTTTTCGAGTTGATTTTTAACTCGAAAAATCAAACTCCCAACTCCTAGTGCTGTTAACTCCCTAAATTTTTTACAGTGTAAGGAGTTAATTTAATTATTAACTCCCTTTTTGAGTTGATTTTTATCTCGAAACATTTAACTCCCAGTGCCGTTAATTCCCTAATTTTTTTACAGTGTAAAAAAGGGAATTACATTTTAATTCCTAACGGGACTCTATAAAAGTCCCACTCTTTTGGAGTTAAAACTAAGGGAGTTGATGCTAAGAGAGTTAATTTTATGCCTAGGGAGTTAATGTTAAAGAGTTGATTTTTAACTCCAAAAATTTTACTTTCAATTCTGGTTGCCATTAACTCCCAAATTTTTTTTACAATATACTCTCTAAATCTGAAGCAGTCACTTTTGAATAATTCTTTTGCGACGATTTGTTCATTAAATAAATTAGTAAGCGTTCTGCTTATTATGTACTGGAAAAAGTTCGGGAACTGAGTAACAACCGGAGTTGGGAGTAAACTTTTTAGAGTTAAAAATCAACTCTAAAAGTGTGTAAACATTAGACTAACTCCCTTATCATTAACTCCCTAAGCATACGATTAACAAAAAGGTGGGACTTTTATAAAATCCCGGTAGGAATTAATACTAAGAGAGTTAATTTTATGCTAAGAGAGTTAATATAATGTAAACTTATTTTTGGAGTTGATTTTCAACTCCAAAAATTTTACTCCCAACTCAGCTTATTAACTTTTTAAGAAGTTTTACAGTGCAGTTTACTAAGTAGTAATTTTCCACTACACTGTAAAAAAATTTGGGGAGTTAATGGCAACCGGAGTTGTGAGTCAAATTTCGGAGTTAAAAATCAACTCCAAAAGTGAATTAACATTACACTGTAAAAAAATTAGGGAGTTAACAGCACTAAGAGTTGGTAGTTGAATTTTTCAAGTTAAAAATCAACTCAAAAAAGGAGTTAATAATTAAATTAACTCCTTAAAACTAACTCCCTAGGCATAAAATTAACTCGCAATGCATTAACTCCCTTCGCTTCAACTCCAAAAGGGTGGGACTTTTATAGCATCCCCTAGGGAGTAGAAATTCAACTCCTTTTTTTACAGTGTAGATTAACTTTTTTAACATTAACTCTCTAAGCACCAACTTTCTTTATTTCAACTCCAAAAGTGTGCGACTACTATAGAATTCCGTTGGGAGTTAAAATCTAACTCTTTTTTTACAGTGTATTTAGAATGTACTGTAAAAATAGAGTTATATTTTAACTCCCAATGGGATTCAATAGAAATCGCATCTTTTTGGAGTTGAAGAAAAAGAAGTTTATGCAATGGGAGTTATTTTTATGTCTAGGGAGTTAATCTAATGTTTACTCACTTTTGGAGTTGATTTTTAACCCAAAAATTTTACTTCCAATTCTGGTTGCCATTAATGTACTAAATTTTTTAAAATAGTTTAGTGAGAACATTTTTTAAATTCCCAGACGTATTCTCAAATTCAATTCTTAAAGTCCAAGTTGACTGTCCTGATTAAATAATTCAACCTGCTATACAGTACACAAGTCTCTTGAGCAGTTAAAAAGACTTGTTCAAATAGAAGAATTCGAGTGTCTCGTTGGTCTAATTATTTGATCGGGACCATTAATATTGTTTACAATTAGCATTAACTAAAAACAATATTCTAAAATAAGAAATAAATTATTCTTGACAAATGTTTAAAAAATATTTAGATAAAATTTATTCTTAAATTCAGATTTCATTTATTTTACACTCGATATAAGAATTATGTTCTAACGTTAGTGTAAGATTTTTTTTTCTAAATTCTAAATCATTTTCTAAAACGTAACCACGACTGCAAAAATAGTGTTGACGATCAATTCCAATGTCAGATTTGAGAAATTCAAAATGGCTAATCCAAAATGGCTGCAGGTTATTTAAAAAATTGATCGGATTTTCTTCCAACACGTTTCACTAATTATGAATTTGATATTAGATTTGCAAAATTTGAAATAGCTGATCCAATATGACGAAATTTTTTTTATCTTCATAAGATTTGATTAAAATTCATTACTCAGAGGTTCTTGGGGTAGACAAATACAAATTTAATTCATTAACAATTAAATTCAATTATATGTAAATTTTAATTTTTTAAATTATTTAAATCGTATTCAATTATTCTTAAAAATTATTATTGTGTCTTTTAATTATTTTATTTTTATTATTAAATATTTACCATTTAATTATTATTTAATTATTTTTTTATTCTTTTATTTAGTATCATAATTTAATATAGATAATATAAATTAAAAAATATTTTATAAGAAGTATTAAAAAAACTCTTAAAATGTCAAATAAAAATTATTTAATAAATTAGTATTCAAATTTCCTTATTATTTTCTTTTTTAATTAAAAATTATTTCATTCTAAATTGACACTTTCCAATTTATTTTGAAAGTAATAAATTTAAATGATTCAAAACGAAGAAATTGTTATGATTTCGATAGTGTTTGTACACAGAAAAAACCTGAATTCAAATTGAGTATAGATTCTATACTCAATTTGATTCGCAACAAAAATGAAACTGGTTGTCTCATTTCGAGTTCTAAGGTAAAAGTATCAAAATGAAACAGGCAAGTTTCATTTTGAGAAAAAGAAAAATGGAAAAATATTGTGAAATAACGAATAATTTTGCACAAAAACATGAAATATAATAATTACAAAGAAGTAAATAACACGCTAGACTTAATATATTTGATTAAAAATTGCTTGTAATCGCGTAATAAAATAATAAAGGAAATATGTTTTTAGGTTAGAAAAATGAAAACATGTGTTTTGACAACAGGAACGGTACTGCCAACTTAAATAATAGCGGTAAATTTAAAAACTTATGAAATTAATTATTATCTACGTAAATAATAATAAATAATTTTTATTTAAAAACTTCTAAATATTCGTACTGTCAAAATAATCTTTCTGGTGTTGTTGAAACATTAGAAACAATAATTGAAATACAAAATTACTCTGCTTATGATGCCAACTTAGAAATCTGAAATTCCAGCCAATATCATTTTGAATAACATGAAGTTTGTCCCATACTCATTTCGATACCCAAAAGAAAATGAGTTGCAACAAAAATGAGTCCAAGTTTTTTCTGTGTAATTCCTGAACGCTCAATGTTTATATTGAGGTACTAATAAAAGACGAACGACATTCAAGCTCAGGTAATAAACAATAAATACAGAATTTTATTTCTAATCTGATCAGTTGAAAATCGTGCTTCGACGTGTATAAACGTGTTCATTTAATGTCTTGTGTGGGTTATTTTTGAATTATTATTATTTTTTATTATTATTCAAAATTATCATAAAAAATAGGGAAAATACAAAAAGGGACTTTAACAATAGACAATAGTTATTTTAGTAAAATTTTATTCAATTTTAATATAAGTAGTTTCGGAAGTGATCGAACAATTTAAAACCGCTACCGCTTAAAAAGAATGTAAAAAAAAATTTATTTTTTATTTCATACGTAAAATTTCGTGAATTTGAAAAATATTTTTGAAAATGTTAATAAGTGTCTGTGATAGTGTGACCTCTATGTCATTATTCTATATTGACAATGGATACTGGATACATCAGGATAACGATACAGCTCTGCCGAATTAGATTTAAATCAGGTATTTTTTTTTATTAATATTCTTAATAATTTATATACAATATAAATGGTCATCAACGCTGAAATTACATTTAATCAAATTAATATATGTATTTAAAAAATTTAATTTTTTAAAATATTTTCAAAAATTCTATGAAAAAACAGTTATTTTAAAGGTGGAAAAATGCCTTTCTCAATTTTAATTTTTTTGTTTATTTTTTTAAAATTATAATAAATTAAAATTTATTCGTTTGCAAAAAAAAAATTTAATCGATTTAAATAATCGGTTACTTAACTATTTATCAAATAAATATTTACTTGAACCAAATAATTTTTATTTGAATTAAATAAACTGTATTTGAACCAATAATTTCTGTATTTCAATACCATTTAATTGACACAAATAATAATTGTTTGATGTAAATAAATATTTATTTGTTGATAGTCAAGTACCGAAAACTGATTATTAGAATCAAATAATTTTTTTTCTGTTTATAAATGAAGAGCAAGGTTTTTTTTTAATTAGTATTATTATTTTATTAGAATTATTTATATAAATATCAAACCTTTCGCCTAATTATTATTAATCAAGGGTAAATTTCATCAAAGTGTGAAAGGTTTTTTTTTTTATCAATTGTCCTACGGTGAGTCTAACAATCTTCTTTTGATAACAAAAGCACAATGTTTCTTCTTTTCATTTCTTCTCGCTTGTGTCTTTACCATATCCCTTGTAGTGAAGCGCTTTTATTATCCTGGCGTGGATTCAAGTCAATTTTCTTTAGCGAGCCATAACTCCCTGAAGGATATACCATGGTCGAAGCATGG